ATTTCTCCCCTGAATTATCCCAATTTTCCGTCATTTTTCCCCTTTTTACGACGAAATCTCTCAAAAATCTGGATATCAGTAACAGTGGTTTCCTAACTTAGGGGTTTTTTTTCCTTTTTTTAAACAAAGGATTTTTATAATCTGTTTGTCATTAGAAACTCCTCAAAAAGCCAATAATCATCCTTTTTCTAGTTCTAACCTCTCATTGGTCGAGAGCAGGGACTGCAACGGGTTATCCGCTTTTCTCATTGGTGGAAACTAGGTGTCACAATTGATTATTGATTTTTCAAAATAAAGCAATTTTTTAGGTATTTTCCCTCATATTCTATTGGATGCAGGGTATTTTCTCAGCACTGCCGACATAATTACCACCTTTCTATCTGGTCGTTATTTTGCCAGGCACAGACGCGGGAACGGAGTCCGCAACCAAATTGACCCGTTTTGGCTACTAATGAACCTTCGACCCGATTGGACGACATCCACATCTACGCGTGTTTGTATGAGCGTGTCAGCGCGCTAATTAATTCTTATGACTGTCCCCAAGGGCATTTGGTCATTAAGCGTGGAATGCCCTATTCGAGCGTCGCAAACTCATCTACAAAAAAAGTGGGAAAAGGCAAAAAAGAAGCGAAGGAGGCAAAGATGGAGGAAAACCCGACCTCACTTAATATCGCTTAGCTACTAGGATTGGGAGTATTTAGACCTTGAAAGGTCTTGTCAACTCCAACTTATCATCGCAATCATCTTTGTATCACCGTCGTCATCACCATCATCCCATCCTTCAGCCCTAATTAGAGGTGGCATCGTAAAGGCAGAGGGGGGTAGTAATGATCCCTTTTAGTCTAAGGTAATATTCGTCATGGCGATATATGTAGCGAAGGTTGGGAGAAGGGGGGGACAGTGGAAGGTAAGTGGGTGGGTGGGGAGAGAGGGCTAATGAATTCCCATTAGTGGTACAAGAAGGAAAAACCATCCATGATTACATCTACTTCCGATAGTAGACCTAATTATTGAGAATCCTTATAATGGGACTAATTATTGCCCTTCACCTCAAGCAATTCTGCATTTTTGATTGTTTATGTCACACGGAGGCATGCTGACAAGCCAGTGTCCTACTATGAGTGCTGGCAATCAGTGCACATGTGGTGAACCCTCCCCGACACCGTTGAGCGGACGAATATCTACTCCTGCAGAAGGACAGCTCAACCCGTCATTTGAGTGATGCAGAGGTTCTAGCTATGCCTTGACAGTGACGATCGCGGTCGTGGTGGTTCTTGACCTAAATAAAACCAGCTTTCCTGGATCATCTGACATGGAACATCCAAGCCAGAAATTGTCGGGAAGTTTAGCGTTTTCCCTCCCTCCACCCGCACCCAGGTACGAGGGCAACCTTCTACCTTTAGTCAGCACACAGGAGTTTGATGTTTGGATCGTATTGCCAATTATATCAGAGATATTTTCACCCGCTTGAAGTCTCAATGGAATACCACGCAGGTGAGCCTTTCAGCGCCAATGATGAAGGGAAGCAGACTGTTTCTAGGGCGATTTCTGCGAAATAATTGCTGGAATATAGTGGGTGGGTCTGGAAAAGCTCCCTTTTCGATATCACTGAGTAATGTGGATGAATCTGAAGCTGCCATAGTTGAAGGAAGCGGATGGAACTAGCCATAATACCTTTTTACGATTGGTTCTTATCTTTAGCGGTGACGCTTCCATCCAAGAGAAGGCAGTAGTCCGTCTGGATGAAATAATGTATCACTGTGACCCCTCCATATGTTCCGTTTCCCAGCAAATGCCTTATTGGGAGGCTGGATTGACGCATCGTCCACTACTGTGCTTGCCAAAGTAAGAACCCATTTGTGGAAGCTTTGCGTTTATCTACACAGCCTCTTAACTCGCCGCGGGTTTTAATCCCCACCACTGAAGAGAAAGAAAGGCTTTGTGGATGGCTCGCGAGGAACGAGTGATCACTTAAGTAGCGTGACCCTCGCTACGGCTACTAGGAACGGCGAGAATATTAGAGTCGGCCAATTCGTTAGTGTCCCTCATATAGTTGCCTGTAGCAATGAATGGCAGCCTTCCGAAGGTAGGCCACCGCATAGGAGCGTGATGGCAACAAAGTGACAGGACGGAGTGAGTGATGCAGACGGTACAATGAAGCTTTTAGGCAAGCAATAAATGACAAACTAAATGGGCTCGTTGTAGAGTACCGAGTAATCTCGGAGCATTAACAAGTCGGTGGATACCTGCTCCGCCATCAACTGAGGAGGGAAGAAAGGATGTTACGGTCTGCCTTTCTGGCCATTGGGAGGTGCTAGGAAGCACCGACAACATTATAACTCCCGATGCAGACATGAGACCTCTGGAAGGGGCGAGGAGGGTGGAGGGGATGGAATTGGAGGCAGGATTAATAGGAGGCGGAATGCACTCAAGCTGTGTAGATATTATTTTACCATTGCTAGAGATACCTGCAACCAAACCACAGTCCCTAACAAGGCGGAGTCTGTGATTAATTATGCAAACACATTGGTGGCATTTAATTAGCCTGAAACAAGTTCAAAAACCGCGCTTATTGCCACGGTAACGCATGAGGCCTTACCGAACTTTAATCACAACTTGCACAACACCAAGATCCCATCCAATTAAGGTCTCAGATCACCTTGTTCCTCCACTCCACCTCACCCCACCCCGAGCCTTTCCACTTCAAAAGCGACTGCAGCTTGACACAGCCCTCGTGACAGCGTCCGCAATTACCTGAAGCGCCCGCGCGGGCGAATGCACGCACGCGTGCATGCATGTTTACGTGGGTAATTTAATTGGACGCCAGGGTCCAATAGGAGCGCGAGGAAGTGAGCACAATCGCGCAAAATGCACTTCAACACGGCAATCAACCAAATGGGTGGCAGGCCTTTTTCCACGGTTCTGGCAGCAGCAGCAGCAGCAGCGATAACGACAACTCAATTATCCTTATTGAAACGGGTGACTTTGGAGGCTCTCTAAGACGTTTGGCTAAATTAACTTAACCCACTTCTTCCGACTGGCCACGAAAATACATAAATGAATAAAGTGAAAGAAACTGAGGCGAGAAGCAGGAGTGAGAGATTTATTTACATGAAATGGATGCCATGAAAGTGAATAAGGGGAGTAAAAAATGTAAAATTTAAAGTGTTTTGGAGTATATCACAGTTGGTCTTTAAGAATGCACCTGCTACACTTTTATACCTCTCTCTCTCCCTTCCTCCGACTCTGGCTTCGTCGTCGCCCTCGCCTCTAGCAAACCTGTAATGGACAACGCCTTGTATCAACTTTCTGAAAAGAAAAGGCAGGAAGAAAAGAAACAGATAAAAATAACATCTGTGTGTGTATGTGTTTGTTTCTTTGTTTCTACAACAATCAAGACGCGGTCTCTTGAACTTCAAAAAGCAAAAACTTGTTTTTTTTGGAATGACTCTAGATTGTCACCATCTGTGAACCAATGAGGGTAGTCGCTTTTTCCTCCCCCTCCAATATTTTTTTCTCCTACTCGAATGAAGCAATCCGGTCTGCTGGCCAGTCCACTGACTTGGGCTAGAGCCCTTCCTGAAGGCTTCCACATTGGTGACTCTCCTCGCGTCTAATTAATAGCCAAACAGATGGACCCAGTCATCTTATGAGTTAATTACACATCCCACTACAGTATGCAATCTCCAACCTCTAATTAGGTCCTTCTTGTGCAAGCATCCTCTTCCTCGGCTAAGTCGGAGTAGTCTAATTTGCCCAAAAAAAGGAAAAGATGGTGATATCGCTTAACGTAGTGCCGAGGAGTATTTGTGACCCTCTTGTGAAACTTATGCAGGTGAATAGATACCGCAAAACATTTATGATGGATTCTTGAACTAGCAAGCGATTTTAGCTTTTGAAGTGGCCACTGGAGCCAAGACTAGGGTGATGGATGATGTGGAAATAGTTCTGTTGCTGAAGGAAGCAGTGGAGACAACCATTTGCCCCGTATTTATTCATCCATCCATCCACCTGCCCTGTCTCCGTCCATCCTCCTAAACAATGTAACTTGGTTGCCCATCCAGCGGGAGTAGATAGCAGCCAACTGATTTGAAACGAGTGGAAGCCTCCAATGGACTTATCAATCAATCAAACCATAGCAATTGAACTCACCAGCTTGACAAGCACATTTAATCGGCGCTTTTTGCTCTTCTCTTTAAATGGTTTCAAACGTTTCAGCATTCCTCAACACATTTTGCTCAAATGAATTAACCCCAATTGCTTACCCGTTGTCTTGGTGTCACCCGACCACTGGTCGAGTGGGAGGGGGTCTCCTGATTCCCGCAAAAAACGGGACTTTCAAGTCCACCTTGAGCAAAAATCGGTGGTGTCATGACAGGCAGTGGTATATTTGCAGAAGAGGACGATACTTGAGGCGGTTGGGTGGGTGGAGGAGGAGGTGGTGGAGGTGTGCCTTGAAGTAGCCTTCCAAACTCATGTTCACAGAACGGACTGCCATTCACCAAAAGATACCGTTCTCCTGGCAACAATGGACTGTGACAATGTGCACAGGTGAAGCACTTCAGGTGGTAGACACTGCTGTTACATCGCATCACCATCTCATCGGGTGGAATTGCTGTCTGGCAGGCACTACATATTCCTGCCACACCGAAGAGCCTATAATGATAGAACAATTGAGAGAATTCAGGACTCGAGTGGATATTCAGATCTCCACATCGACAGCAGGGAAGTCCTTGCTACAATATCGGATATAACCGAGACGCCGCACCACTTATACGTCACTTTTGGTAAAAGTCGACAGTGAATGGATGGGTTTACGGATGGATCATCGAAATCGGTACTGTCTCCAGGTCATCTGTGTTAAATTAGTCTCCAAGATTTCCCCAATACTTAGTTATGAAGAGCACTAAGAGCACGCCTGAAACAGAAGGTTCTTCTTTCCTCAGTTCCCGCGAGTCTGTCAGCCGCATCGGTCTTCAAACTCCTCTGTAAGATTTATAATGCCCTTAAAGGAACTCAAAGAGGAATACTTTCTTGACTAAATAACCACTTTTTCCGGATGCGCTAACGTTCACTCGCCTGAAAAACACTCACATACGGAATAGATGTGAAGGCAAGAGCATTAATGAATGTGCCACAAATCTCAGCCAAGAGGGCATCACATAAGAGTAGTGATAAAATACAAGTCTACTGCGGCCGAAAACCTTGTCCATCAGTTGCAAATGGGTAAGAGAATGGGAGGAAAGGAAAGTGGGGAAGGGGACGGGAAGGGGTGAGGCAAGCCGAGGCGGAGACGGAAAGATAGCGAGAGGAGGGGAAATAGAGCAACTAATCACTCGGACCCACAGCTTTGCCGTCTAATTAGTTGACAAGGAAGCAATTAGGGACGCGAAGCTAAGGTAGTAGTAGACGCAGAGGCGGGGAGAGGGATAATTAGAAATCGCGAATACATCCATACAACATCGCCACTATTATTATTATCTGTAGTAGTAATTGAGACATCCCGATTAATGCATTACTCTCCGCCATCCCCTTTAAAAGCAGCCTCTTTTAGGCCCAATTCAAATCGATACGCGGACGCCGTTTCAGGGTCTCGGATCCTCGAATAATTAGGATCCACTTGAGTAGCTGGGGCAGAAGATGAAACCGGTCGACTGCCTGCGTGATCCAGGGAGTGAGTAGCCTAGCGTACTACCCCGATGGAGCATCTTTGGATGGATGACTTACAAGTCCGCACTCGTTGGAATCACCCCTTGGTGAGGCACAACCGTCTTGGAAGGTAAATTGACTCCCCAGAGAACTAATGTAGACGTCTAAACAAGACTGCTCTATTCCAATCAGTCGACACGCTCTAGAAGTGGACGGATAATCAAGATACACGAACAAAAAGTAAATTTTTAAGTACTTATGATGGATTACTTGTGTTCTATGGCATAACTTGTAAGTTTTTTGACTAAAACCACAACACATACACACATGTGTGTGTGTATCTGCGATGGGGATAACAAAGTACGCATCTAGCCGTTGCGAAGTTCGCCAACTTTTTTTTAGTAAAGCAACCAGGGAAAGAGATTAAATGTAACCACATCTTTTTTTTGCGGTCTAATCATCCTCCCTGACTTAATGCACATGGCTGACACGTAGACAAGGACGACTAGGAATGCCAAGGTAGAAAGCCTTTTAAGATTTGCCTGGCGGATAAGACGCGAGGCCTAATGCACTGCCTGCCTGCCTACCTACCTACCTACGAACCTAAACATCGTAGTTTTCGCCTTCCTGTCTTGAGGGGTATATCAGGTTAAAACTTTTTACCCACAGAAAGCTTTAACTCACTTGAGATAGTCCTGACGACAGAGTAGCATGTTTCCACGATGAAAAAGTGAAGTTCCCATCTCAGCTAATCGGCCGCCGCAACAGTGACATTTGAGGCAGTGATTGTGCCAATTCTGTTCCATTGCACTCAGCATGGTTCGATCCCAAATCACCATTCCACAACCGGCACATACATTTGCTTTCCGCTCTGTGTCCTGTGATTGTGCGCCAGTCATTTGGGTTTCTGTGATTTTCATTGGGTGGACTGATTCCTCAAATCTGGTAGTTGGTTGCGGAGCTGTAGACACATCACTATTAACACCGCTGGAAGAACTGAGAAGGTGGCTTTGATCCCTGGGCATGCTGCAATATGATTGTGACCGTGGAATCCGCTGAATTGCAGTCTATAATAGACTAAAGTGATTGGGTAATTGGCACGTGCTTGAAGGCGCCCTTCTAATTGGTTAAGGCAGAATGCAGGCGTATGATTGGCGCGTGCATAGTTACTACTCTACGATTGGCTGGGTCATTGCTAGACAGAGCATGCACCATATTATAAGAGTGGGGAAAAATGAACAAAAATCTAGTCTACAAACACATTTAAGAATTAAAGAATACAATGTTTTTATAAAATTACTGTCTGTTCTAAAAATGATTAGGAAAAGTTAGAAAAAAAGTGGCTAACTGCGACGAATATTCTAAGAAATCCAGTTGAATATATGTGGACCCGAAGTCACACAAAAAAAGACTTGCAAAGAGGGTGCATAGCAAAGGCTGCAGATGTTGTTGGCACCACTTATAGCGATATGCGTTTACTGAATGAAAATTGGCACCATTAACTTGATTAATCACAGCAGAGATCGGTGACCACCACATTGAACACTGCCTGCAA